CAGCGATATAAAACTAATTCAAGTTATAGATGTAACTAATCTACAATCAACTGATACAGTTCAAACTAATTATACACCAACTAATATGTTTCTATCTGCTAAATGGAGACTTTTAACCAATACAACATCCCAACCTATCAGGTAAAGTATTTTTAATTGTAATAATAACCAATGTAAAGTTTCGATTTATATTACTGTTGTGGGTGATGTGGCTATACCGAACTTGATTTCAATCAAGTCATGAATATTTGGCATAGATGTCAGACTGTTTCTAAAGCATACAGCAATATGTTTTTTTCAGGTATGAAGTAAGTCTAGGTCTATCTGTAAAAAGCCAGCCCAGTGGTGTGTTTGATTCAGCAACAGAACGATATTGGTTTGATGTTGGTCAAGATATGAGTACCATTATTACACTACCCAAAGGTTTGTAGAAACCATTTGCTGCATAATATTCAATAATATGGAATAATACTTAAATGGACACCGTTTTGTAATCTACACATAATCTAGATTACATAATACTGGATAATGTAATGCCTGAAACGTATCGTTTGATTTGGGCCATTTTTGTACAAGTTTTGGTAGGTTGTGCTAAGTTTCCTCGTGGTTTATGCGTGTCAGAACTCAACCTCACGTAATGCTTCGGCCTGCAAAGCGTCAATCATCAGGACACATCGTAACCGGGAATATAGTGTAAACGTATCATAATAATATATAACATATGATTATTTCAAGTACAACTATTCATGTTAATTGAGACTACATATTTGTTTCAGATAATACCCTACATGATAACCTGGTCTATTCAGTATTTGTAAGAGCGTGGTATGATGATAAAAGATATTATGTTTATAAATCACCTGGTATCACTGTTGTCTCTAAACCACCAACTCTGACTTATATTAGAGGAGCAACTGTGAGTACCTACACAAATGAAAACACGATGTTACTTAGAAGCTCGGTTTGTCCGGAGACCTCACACAGCTATAAATAATGTTTATTTGATATGCATGGAAATTATTTAAAATTCTGAAATACTTATCAATTTTATGTAGATTTTCTGTATTGTTCGATACACCTTTATACAGAATTGACGTGTTACTCTGAAGACCCTAGCATAATATATTTTACCACAGGTTAAAGAATTAGAACAGACAACTAGTAATAAAGATATTGACTACCAAATAAACAACAATACAATAATAGTTGGTTGGAAAGATAAATTTAATGGTGGAATTCATGGTGTAGATTATTACCAGGTTTATATCAGTACACATCCACAAGGTATACAACTTTTTTCTTTTATACAAAGCGTTCCTTGTATTGCTAAAATGGTTTGATTTTATATTTATCCTTTCAAACGTCTAACAATATCAGAAGAAAAGATAACAGATAGAATTGAAAGAAGACATCTTCTATAGACACGAGTCAACAAGGTTGTATATTATTTCAGGTCACAATATCCATAGGAGTGACTCACAATTATCGCCACAGCAGAAATCATTCAGTATATCTGGATTAAAGTTACAAGAAAATAAGGTATATTACAGCACAGTTTTAGCCTTTAACAAAGCTGGGTTTTGTAGCTGGAGCACCAGTGATGGCATCATAATTGATTCTACACCACCTTCAACTGGTATCATACATGATGGATTAGGTAAGTATAAATATTGTACCACCTATAAATGGAGTCAATCGCGAGTATCGTTTAATTTGGGTATTGCCTGAAAGTCGTATGTAGCCTAACTTCTTTTATTGATTTTATTGCATTTTCATCGGTTTGTTCCAGACCATCACGACTCTGAATACCAGTCATCTGAAAGCTGGCTTGCTGCCTCGTGGTATGGTTTCCCTGATATAGGATCAGGTATTGTGAATTATATCTGGTGTGTTGGTAGACAGAATGACTCCACTACTTGTGATATATTACCATGGACTAATGTTGGTTTGAAAATAAAAACCACTGATATATCACCTATGGAATTGCATTCAGGTAAATGAAAATAAAAATTTCATTTTAGCACATACAAAGACGGCAAGTAGTTTTGGTAAAACAGATACATTATGTTGTTGTCAAAATGTAATTTGTATGTTACAGGAGATAAGATCTATAATAAAGTGTATGCTGTAGACGGTAGTGGTTTACAATCACAAGTTGCTGTCTCTAATGGGATTATTATTGATACTTCACCACCTGAAGCAAGTTACCTGGAATTTATTGGAGAAAATCTCATCCTTAATCCCTCATTTGAATCAACATCTGATGACACAACAACTTCTTGTAATTCTAACATCCCAGAACATTGGTCTACAGATTCACAATCTTGTGTTAAAACTCGATCATCTCAACATTCAACAGCTCATGATGGTGAAGTTTATATCACAATAACAGATCAGATTCAACAAACCATTCAAAATCTAGATACAGATTGTTCTTATCAGCTTACTGTACATGTTGGTTATCCACATGACATCTTACTATCGAATCATATGGTAGAAGGTTTTATTAGATTAGGACATGAAATAAACAGTTTTAAACTGAATCCAGATCTCTGTCAGGGTGAATGTTCTCAACATGTCGATGTGATTCATTGGTATAAATTCACCTATATTTATCAACCAATAAATACACGAGAGAAATTAGTAATTGGTACAACAAGAAATACTATGATATTGGCTATAGATGATCTAGAACTCAGAAAAATAAATCATATATCATTGAAAGATACCAACAATAATCATATAGTATATCACCCGACTTTTACACCTCACTGGTCTTCCGTACATTTTAACTGGTATATTAAAGATAGGGAAAGTTATATTGTTGAGTATCAGTGGGCTCTAGGTAGGTCATTACTTTATGCACATTTTTATTACTTCATTGATCAAGCTCCCTTCTAGTATACCACAGACATGAAATGCAATGAATAGAGTTTTACGACCCACTCTTCTGCACCTAATTAGCTAACGAAGCCGGCGGCGCGATGCAGAGTTTAATGTCTCATATCGCCGAGAGGTGTTCAGAAGACTCATTAACATCAAGAAGTAGTATCAATGTTTATGTAAAATAATTGAACAACAAATACTTTATATTTAATCTATATTCAGGTACAGTGAAAGGTGGAACTCAGATCAGAGAATTTACAACCACTGGTGATAGAAACCACGTGACCATTTCTAATCTACGTTTGGTTCACAACACTCGGCTATATTTCACTGTTCAAGCCCGAAATGGTGCTGGTCTGATATCTGTATCACATAGCGACTTTATATTAGTAGACACTACCCCTCCTGTTGTTATATTTATATATGACGGTACAGGTACGTGACGTTATACTGATTATATTATAGTAAACACTACACCTTCTGTTGTTATTTATATACATGACGGTACAGGTACGTGTACGTGACGTTACTGATTATATTATAGTGGACACCACACCTCCTGTTGTGATTGATATACATGACGGTATAACTACGTGACGTTATATAATGATTAAATTATAGTACACACCTCGTCTCCTTCTGTAACCCAAGAGTAAAGATCATTGCCTTGCAGGTGGAGATGTAGATTACCAGACTCGTAATGTTATTGATGTTAATTGGAAAATAGAAGATCCAGAATCTGATATTGACTATTGTATATGGGCTATAGGTAAGCATAGCATCTCGAGTATAAACTGCTTGATGATTCTATGGGCGAGTGCAACCTCCTGATGAACTACTAAAAATGAAATGAAATGAATGGAGTTTTACGTCCTACTTTTCTGCACCATGTGGGCTAATGAAGACGGGCAACCCCATGCAGGGTGCAATGAGGGAAATTTTGCCAGGGCAGTGACATTAGCCTGTTCTTTTTCAACTTTCAAACAGTCGGTTTATTGTCCCATCTGAACGACAATACGCTTTTACATGTCAGCCCTTGTTACCTGCATCACTGAGTTCAAGAACAACCTCACAAAACCAAAGCAAAAAAAAGCTGTGAAAGCACTATCACCTTCCTGTTCCCAGATAACAACATCAGGGCAGTGCTGCAAATAATTTATGTTGTCTTTCCAATGAACTGTCTGCAATTTACAATAATAAGGTAAAACAAGTAACCTCACCTCTTACGAAACATGCATATTGAACACCTGCAAAACTAAATATAGAAATGATGAAATATATCAAAGACACAAAATGTTTTGACAACGGGAAGAACAAAGAATATTAAGCAGCAATATCTTTACCGTATATAACCTAATATAAAAGACACTATTTTTGATTTTATATTTAGATTGAGTTAATTTTTGATAGCTTTTTATTACTAAAACTAATGATGAACATTAACATCCCTTACATAATAATTTCAAATTTGAATCTGTTTAGGTTCTGTGCGAGGAGGAAATGATATACAGAAGTTTACAAGAATACAGAAAGACGAGAATAAAGCTAGTAGAGAATATACTGAGAGAGAACCTATAAAAGTTTATTCTACTATTAGATGTTATAATAAAGTTGGTCTACAAGTAACAGTAACAACTGATGGTGTTCAACTCATTGATTCTAGTGAACTTATTATTAGTAGTGGGCAGATAACTCTTTTACCACAGGCAACAACCCAATATCAAATATCACAATATTGTCTTTCACTACAACACTCACTTGGTATTCAGTGGCAGTTTGATTCTAACAACTATCAGTCTACATCAGTTATGGTAAGTTCAAATAAGTCAGAGCAGGATATCCCCATCTGGCATCATACTATCTTCTGATGATTATAAACCAGAGAAATTGATAGATGTTTATTTTATTGGTTTACTGTGGTTGGATTATGTGCTGATGATTATAAACTAGAGAAAGAGATAAATGTTAATTATATTGATTTACTGTGGTTGGTGGTTGGACATTCCACTGATGATTATAAACTAGAGAAACAGATTGATGATTATTGTATTGTTTTATAGGTTGGATTATCTACTGATGATTATAAACTAGAGAAAGAGATAGATGATTATTGTATTGTTTTATAAGTTGGACTATCCACTGATGATTATAAACTAGAGAAAGAGATAGATGTTTATTGTATTGTTTTATAGGTTGGACTATCTACTGATGATTATAAACTAGAGAAACAGATTGATGATTATTGTATTGTTTTATAGGTCGGACTATCTACTGATGATTATAAACTAGAGAAAGAGATAGATGTTTATTGTATTGTTTTATAGGTTGGACTATCTACTGATGATTATAAACTAGAGAAAGAGATAGATGTTTATTGTTTTATAGGTTGGACTATCTACTGATGATTATAAATTAGAGAAACAGATTGATGATTATTGTATTGTTTTATAGGTCGGACTATCTACTGATGATTATAAACTAGAGAAAGAGATAGATGTTTATTGTATTGTTTTATAGGTTGGACTATCTACTGATGATTATAAACTAGAGAAAGAGATAGATGTTTATTGTTTGATAGGTTGGACTATCTACTATCCACTGATGATTATAAACTAGAGAAAGATATAGATGTTTATTGTATTATTTTATAGGTCGGACTATCTACTGATGATTATCAACTAGAGAAAGATATAGATGTTTATTGTATTATTTTATAGGTCGGACTATCTACTGATGATTATAAACTAGAGAAAGATATAGATGTTTATTGTTTTATAGGTTGGACTATCTATTGATGATTATAAACTAGAGAAAGAGATAGATGTTTATTGTTTTATAGGTCGGACTATCTTCTGATGATTATAAATTAGAGAAAGAGATAGATGATTATTGTATTGTTTTATAAGTTGGACTATCCACTGATGATTATAAACTAGAGAAAGATATAGATGTTTATTGTATTATTTTATAGGTCGGACTATCTACTGATGATTATAAACTAGAGAAAGATATAGATGTTTATTGTATTATTTTATAGGTCGGACTATCTACTGATGATTATAAACTAGAGAAAGATATAGATGTTTATTGTTTTATGGGTTGGACTATCTTCTGATGATTATAAATTAGAGAAAGAGATAGATGATTATTGTATTGTTTTATAAGTTGGACTATCCACTGATGATTATAAACTAGAGAAAGATATAGATGTTTATTATATTATTTTATAGGTTGGACTATCTACTGATGATTATCAACTAGAGAAAGATATAGATGTTTATTGTATTGTGTTATAGGTCGGACTATCTACTGATGATTATAAACTAGAGAAAGATATAGATGTTTATTGTATTATTTTATAGGTCGGACTATCTACTGATGATTATAAACTAGAGAAAGATATAGATGTTTATTGTTTTATAGGTTGGACTATCTACTGATGATTATCAACTAGAGAAAGAGATAGATGTTTATTGTATTGTTTTATAGGTTGGACTATCTACTGATGATTATAAACTAGAGAAAGATATAGATGTTTATTGTATTATTTTATAGGTCGGACTATCTACTGATGATTATAAACTAGAGAAAGATACAGATGTTTATTGTATTATTTTATAGGTCGGACTATCTACTGATGATTATCAACTAGAGAAAGAGATAGATGAAACTGGTATTAACTATGATGGTGTTAAATTACAAGGATTAAAAAGGAAACCAGAGACAAATTATATGGTGAATATTTCTGGTATTTTACTGGGCAGATTGAATAATTATATAAATCAGACTTTCTCTACTGGTTATCAACCACCCAGTGTTAAAGGTGAGAATATTTAGTATTAGGAATCATTGTACATGGTGATATTTCTGACTTTCTGGGCTGCGAGGGAAGGGGGTGGCTGACCCTTCTGCCTCCCCTTTGACTTCGCCACTGCTCTGATATCTCTGACACTTTACATTATTATTTATTTTTTCTGTTTTGTTTTTTTATTGATTTCGAACTTTTGGAAGAAATATAGTTACAAACTTATAAAACTTGTTCTCTTGCTTGTCTGATTTTTCGTTTGTTTTTTCTTTGTCTTTTTGTTGAATGTGTTTTTTTGTCTCCTGATGTCTCGTTGACTTTTCGATTTTGTGTGGCCTTATGCATATATTTTCATTCAAAAAAGGAAAGTTTAAGCTAGAGAATATATTTTTATTACAGAAGATGGAGATATCAAAATAGCCAAGACATTAGATGGTTTAACATTAATGATATCCTGGACAAATATATTTGAATCATACTGGAAAGATTTAACCTATGAAGTTAGTCTTGGTACCAAACAAGGTGGTGGAGATGTTATACAGTGGCAAGAAACAAAAGATGACAGACTCCGTTTGACATTACCTAAATATTGGAAATATAAATATTTATATCTATCTCTTACTGCAGTAGATCCTTGTGGTTTATATACTAATACTCAGAAAATTGTGGTATTGTAAATTTATTCGATCAAAGTATATGTACTGAAGCCTCTTGAAATCTGTTATATATTTCAATCGTATTGACGTTTTAATTTTGTAAATTACTGTATCGTTCAGTTAGTGTACAATCGTATTTTAAATATCATAATGAAATATATTATATCTTTAATAAATCACTTACATTGTATTTGTTTACTATAAACGTTAACTACTGTAAAAACATGTCTTTCCTTATCTGCCAATTTGCTTTAACCTGGCGGGAAATTACAATCACACCTTTTTTCTTAGCCATCATATTATATCTTTATTCAGTCTTACGTTGTGTTCGTCTATAATGTTTTTTCATACTGCCGTACTTCCTTTCTCAAAATAGGTAAGATTATAAAAGACAACATGAGACAATAATCAATAAAAAGAAGATCTTGTTATTATTGTGAGTTTATTGCAAAAATCGTTTGAAAATTTGTTGGCTTTACACATCATCGGTCATAACAACATTTAATTCAAACTTCAAACCAGTAAAAGGTAAAATCGCAGATTGGTTATAATAGCTAACTAATTTTCATGCAAATGCAAACTGTCACTAACTAGGGTCTTGAAGTAACAAAGTTTCTGTCGTGTAATCAAAAAGGTGAGGTAATAATATCCCGCCAAAATTAAAACAAATTGGAAGACAAGGCATAACATGTTTTAAACACAGGGATTGGTAGGTGCGATACATTTAAAATATACCAAACAGGATATCGGAATGGTAACAATAGAAGCTATAAGTGTACTATTACAAAGACTATAAAACCTCTTTACAATACTTTTAAAATCCTTTCATGTGCCATGAATATTGAATTAAATTTAACTGAAGGCCAAATTTCGATCTTCCTAAAGCTCTTTTCAGTGACGTAACCAGGGAATAAAGGTAAAGGTATATAATACGGTGAATAATATTTATAGTAATACATCACGATTTTATAACTAGTATTTTTCCGGGTACGCTTGAGAGCATATGTAACTACACAGTCAGTTCGCTTTCTTTGCGCAAACGTTCAAGTCTAATTTGGAGGCATAGTAGCTCGGCACCCTTACTCAGGGGCACGAGACTCAGCCTCAACATAGGTACGTGGCCAAACCTCTTCGTATTGATCTTCCCGGTTTAAGCGTACCCAGACTTTCACACGGCCAGGATTAGAAACATTTGTTCGGAGTAACTAAGCATGTAACAATTCCAAAGCTTTAACCGACTGTGCGACAGAACCATTCAAGTATATATCGCTGAGCATGTCGTTTCATGCATTAAAAAACACAATCGCGTGAAGTGTCGTGAATTCCTATTATAGTTCGTTTGGTACATGCATGATAGATCCCTAGCCGGAATAAGCCCCTTTCAATTTGGGTGACATTTTATTCAATAAGGCTTGAGCATTGTGTCTATGAATAGAATATGTTCATGTGGGTGTGTACACTTCATTTAAGAAATTCATGATCACTTTGTCATTAGACATTAACAGGTACACAGGGATATCTGATTCTTGATTATTCATGGAATACAATGAAGGGTTCTTCTGTGTTAGAATTTGGACTGCTGGTAGGAAGTTTGTTGATTCCATCGGTTTTAAGGTAATATATTTTTTTTAATTACATAAGCTACAAAACCTTAACATAACAAGTCCTTATTACTTGTTTTTTAAATGGAAAAACAAAAGAAATTTCAGTCCGGTATGAAACAGACTACTGTCCACTTGTTCAACGAAAAAAATGGAGAAAGCAAAGAGAGACGGATCTTCTAATTGGACAGAGTAAGACAAGGAGTATTTCTAGAGATAGTAAAGATCCTTGAATTAGAGGATAAGAGTTATGGAAATGCGAATAAAGAAAATGAATGGCCTACAGAATAGTTACAGATTAAATTTGCAGGAGTTAATTGTTTGAAAGAAATAAAGCGCAAAATGTTGCTCGCTTTAACAGAGAAGCCCCAAAGGAACTATCAGATAATACATTGTTCATCAAAGATTTAATTCCTGGAGAGTTTACTCAAAGTTACGCTTTGATTCAGAAGGGGGTGACAATACCAACATTGACATACCGTTATAGGAAGCTGAAGAGTCATCAAATGATGACCATATCAATGATGATTGTGAAGATAATGATGCTGTTGATGTGATACCCAAACCATCCTCCATTAGCCCCTATTTAAAGCACTCCAGCAACTCAAACAAAAAACATGTAAAAGGTAGGTCAAATTGAAAACAAATCATTCAGTCGTAAATAATATTTGATTACTGATGTCTTTAAATTGATATTCTATGTCATAAAATTATTATTAACGCCTATTTCAATTGATTTATGGTTGACGGACAGTCTTGAATAAGACAGAAAAAAAGAAGAGGGTTTTACCTTTTCTGGATAGGATAAAGTTAGGTATTGCATGTATCATTACATTTGCAAAGTCAGCATTATACATTCTATATAATTTTATATTTTTAGACGTTTGTTATCTCCACTGAATATTCCTGGAAAAAAAACGGCGAACAAACCTGTTATTTTCCGTTCTAGCCGATTAACGGGACATACAAAAGACTATATTTATTCATGGAAAAACTAAAAGTCGTTCCGTACAACTGCCGGGTTGTTTTGTACCATATTCTGGGACGTCACGTATGATATCAATACATTACACTCCTCCCTTTAAGCCCTTAAACTCAAATAGAGTATTGCTGCTTGCAATTACCCATATGAAAATATACTCTTAATCAAAATTAAGTCTGAACCATTTAGACTCCTTTAATATGAATAATAATTATGCACCAAACTGTTATCTTTAATAAAATAATTAGAAAAATATAAAATTGATAACAAGTCTGCTGACTTTGCACATAAAACAATAAGGCAAACATCTATCTGAAAATTGGAAAGTAAAAAATGGATGCTTTGAGTTTAAGTTTTGAATTGATGAAATATATACATATATATATATTATCTGTGAACATAGAGCAGCAATTATAGATGAAAACATAGTATGTCATCACACTCATCATATGTCATTAGACAATCTTTGCTCTAATGAAGTATTGGGCTTATTAGCTTTCAAACTATTTTTCAACGTTTGCACAGAGCGTTCAGCCAAACTGAGTAAATGATTTGCATTCTTCTGAAGCAAATTGTGGACAATTATCACTTAATATTTGTTCATTTGTATAATCACAACTACAGGCCATTTTGAAAGTACATCGACAACTACTAAAAACATTCTAGATTAGAATGGTAACGCGAAATCTATATGGATTCGTTGCCAAGGCGTTGTCGGCCATATCTATGAATGAAGTGGTGCTCCTGGTATCATTTATATGTTGTGCTGTTCGTTTATACCCGACATCGTACTTATTTGCTTGGCAAAATGCATATCTTTGTAATCGAGCAGCAGTCCTCACAGGTATGCTCTTTTCTGGATGAAATATTGACAGTGATGGTTACTAGGGTTACCATAAAGGTAAATATGGAACTCCTTTACACACCGGACAATGCCAAGAGATTCTTAATGTATCTGTGAATAGTATCTTTCAGCCTTTGATAACGATCTTTTAGCGAAAGCTATTAGTCTTTCACTGCCACCAGGAGAGGTATGTGACATGACAGCTCCAATGACATATGGTGATGCGTCACATGCTAGCTTGACTGGTTTGTCTGAATCGTAGTGTACCAATCTTTGTTTGGATAATATAAGTTACATGTTTTTTCCTGGAATGCATCTTCACAAGCTCTAGACCATTTCAATTCTGTAGATTTCTCCAACAATTGATTAATAGGATGAATAATCACTGCTAGATTTGGTAACAATTTATGATAGTATTTTACCAACCCAACATAAGATTTAACTTATATATCTATACTTTTGATATATCTTTTGGTCGTGGCGCATTGTTGATGGCTTCTACATGTGAAGGAGATTTATGCAGTCCATCTTTATCAATCACATGACCATAGTATTCAATCTGATCTCTGGAGAATTTGCATTTGGCCTTATCTGTTCTAGTTTTCATACTTTTTATTTTTTTTTATTTTTTTTTTTAAGTTTTATTGACCCAGACAGAAAAATGACAGTATCAAGAATGTGTGCCCTGACTTCCTGCCTTACAATAAGTACAAACAAACAAAATTAATATTAATCACACACCATTCTCTCAGGAGCATCCTCCTATCACTTAATAGGCCTCCAAGGCTACCATGGCCGGTTGTTTTCGGAGAGGGGGGAGGGGGGGATAGTCGGAGATTATTGTTTTATTGAATTTATTGTTTTTCGAACAAATCGGCTACCACAAGCCACCTTTCCTTGAATTGATCAATAAAATTTTTTTCAGTATAGATATGTTTCTCAATATTGTAGTAGTTTTGAATGACTATTTTGATATTACTTAATAATAGTTTTTTACCATCTTTGTGAGTCTGAAAAATGTAGTTTTTAACCAATGTATATATCATATTAATAGCGTCATACTTAGGTCCTGATATACCAAAGAGAATATCTTAACAGTTAATGCTCAATTCAATATTTATTGAATCATAAATCTATTTTTGAATTTCTTTCCGTGGTGAAAAGACCTTCTGACAACTAAAAAATAAGTGTTGTATGTTTTGTTGTTCACTATGATCTCTGCAGAAGCTGCAATATGGAGCATCTCTGAAGCCCATTTTGTGTAAAAGTTCATTTGTAGCTATAATTCTATGCAATATTTTATACCGCAGTCATCTTATATTTGTATCTACTGTGCATTTAAAATAAATATTATACAAATTGTTGAAATCGTTGTAAGTTTTATTTAATTCCAAGCACCATTTTGCTTGGAAAGACTGGCAACCAACATTGTGATTGTTGAGTACCTAAGACTGGGAAAGATTCTATCAGAGTTTTTTTTAATTCCATAAAAATGAGTCACCTGAGGTATAAAATTGTATTTATCAGAAAAGTTTTTATAATTTATAAAATTACCGTTATCCACAAGCAGATTACAGACATTGTGGACTCCGTGGTCAAACCATTTTTTATAAAATAAATGGTCTCCATTAATTGTGATGAGTTGTGCCAAATGGGGAGACTTGTAACATGTTCTGTTGTATTAAATATTTTTATAAAATTCGAATATTCGTATAGTGCCTCTTTCCAAAATGGATTTTTTAAGTTATTAGAAGGTTTTAACGCAAATTTGTCACCGAATACAAATATATTTCGGAGTTGTTGCTCAGTTGTATAGAGGGTGTGTCCATTCCGATTCTGACAAATTTATTCTTCTAATCCAAGTGAGCTTTAAGGAAGAAATAAATGATTTCACATGCAACATTCCACATCCCCCAAAAGCACTTTTTTGGATTAGTGTGTGTCTTGCTATTCTATCGGTGTTCCCCCATATGTAATTGAAAAGTAATGTTTCAAATTGTTTAATATAACATGCATCCGGAGTTGGAAGAGTGCTGAAAAGGTGGATTAATTTAGGTATGATTGAGCTTTTAATGACACAAATTTTACCCAATACGGTTAATTGACGTCTTTTCCATGTAAAATTTTTTATTTCTATGATTTTGTTATCAAAATTCAATTCAGTCATTCCTGATAGATTTGTGCTAAACATTATACCGAGTATACTAAATCGGTTTTCATACTGCTGTACATGTTGGAAGACTTTTCTAGGTTCTCCAGATGTTCTTGGTCATTTCGACCAGATATAATCATATCATCAAGTAGGCATTGAATCATTGATATTCCTTACAATACTTTTTCTACTAACCTTTGCCAAATAGCTGAGGCCCTTACGTGTGTTGATGGTGAGTAGCGATTTCGAATCTTCCTCCATCTCCATGTGCAGATTAGCATTACGTAGATCTATTTTAGAGTAATGAATTCCACTAGAGAGGTTTGCAAAGATGTCTTCTAGTGGATACTGATCAACCTTTAACTGAGGGTTGACAGTTACTTTAAAGTCTCCATGCGGACTGCTCCTGACCTCTTGTCAAGCGAAACAATTGGTGTTGTCCATTCACTGCTTTCAACTGGCGAAAGTATTCCAGCAGATTCTTCAACTCTTCCTCAGGGAATCTAAACTGCGTTTGGTATTTGATGTCGCTATAAGAGCTCGATCCTCCTGTTTTTGGTCAAGGTTTTTTAGATTAACGTCTAAATGTTCCAATCTCGTCCAAATAGTGCAGGACCTTCACCTTAAATGATTCTTAGATTTAAGCAAAAGTATATATACTAAAATCTTAAGATGTGTCCTTCTGGACGTTTTATTTTAATTATGTGTCCTAACATCAAAAATATCACAACATGACTATATGCACACTCTGGCCTTTCAGTTATTGAAGAACAATGATTACAAGAGACCACACTATTACATTAGTCTTTATCCTGAAGGAGCTCAAAGAAAGAAAAGGCTCTGTCAACCTTAAAGGACCCTATGCCTGATAGTAAAGAAAACCTTTTTTTGTTAAGAGATTTGGTAGCCCCTGATTGACCTTCAGATAAAACAGTAGCTCAAATGAATGAAACACGTCATCTATAACCTAAGCCTTTAGTCATACCAGAAAGATTTAGATTTTTCAAAAAGGACCAGTTCATCTGAATATATATCTTACCTTATTTAATGACTCATATTTTCAATCCAATAACAGAGCAGAAAAATGCTATAATCGAAGTCATATCAAGATGTTTTGGCATCTGGAAAAGAAGATTCCCATTCTTGCGAATTGGCATTACCACAAAACTGGAAATTTATATGATAATCATCATCGCTGTTGCAGTTTTGCAGACTTTAGGTCAAATTTGAAAATGATACTGATGATCATGGTCTAATTGACAACGACGATATCAAAACGGTTTAGAAATAAGACCTAGTTTACAACCCATAGGGCCGTTTAGTAGAAACGCATTTTTCTCCATTGGCTTTATACGGATTTACCCATGTCAAAGCTGTATATTACCTTTCCTGACAAGCTATCTTTAGCAGAGACACAGAAATGATCTTAAGGAAAAGGACATAATTTATGTTTTATTCAAGATTCGCATTTTGTATTAATATGCATTTCAGTTGTTTTTTTTTATGTTTTTAATAAATATGAGAAAAAAGGTTCTTATTATTTTTGAAAATACTCAGCCACCATTGTTCATTCTTATGTGATAAATGATCAACAGTACAATAAAATATAGGCAAAAGACAGGTGCAGCTACAAAACAGGAAATGCCCGATCGGTGAGCCCACATAGTTAGTAACATAATAAATATTTATCACACTAGTGGAATGAAGAACATTGTCTCCTGACGTGCTCATTATACACCAACATAGAAGAACTTGCATCAGAAATGCCCACAATATATACCCAATTTTAATTTATCAATTAACAACCAAAACATGCTGTGATATTGTAGAATATAGAAAATGTAATACCGTTCAAATCACTAGGCCTATTTATATTTGTTATGTTGAGTCTTTAATAATATTTTTAAATCACGGCATTAATATGGTACTAATTATTGTCCTGTGATAACAATGATTTTATTATAGACGTCATGTCCCTCATAATTCTTAACAGAATGGCAGTTGAAAAGTGAAGTATTTTAATTGTATATATTTATTGTGTATAACTGGTGATAATATATTTACTTACTTACACCAATTCTAGATATTGTTGTCAAATGAGTGATTTCTTCAAATAAAGGAAGGTTATCACAATGCTGGTCAAAAGTTTTAATACATTCACGGTTTGTGTTTTATCTGTAATACCTCTTTATATCGTAAACATTATTTCTATTTTCCAGTGACTATTGTCCAGCACAGAGGCAGAGACAAGAAACATACACAACACGATTGTTGGAAGCTTTTTAATTGGTTTAAATGCACCAAAACACGGTATAGTACAATTGTTTTACTGTATTTGGTGAATATCATACGACTTTATCTATTGAAGTCGATTAATCAGATAATTGCCCTTTACTCGGTCAGATCTTTACCCCCCTGCTTGACAAAATGAGACCACAACATTCATGTGCAGTAACATACCACAATTACCAGCTTATGGAGTACACATTTCACAACTCATCTAGGCTATTTATGAGGACTTACTAGCTAGATGTCGAGTATTATCAATAAGATAAATTGTAAATGTAAATTTAGAATGGATGTGCCACTGCTCGATCTGAATTTTTCTGTCATAAACTGAATAGTTTTAAGAAAGTCCCCTTCTTTTACAAAAAATATCTGATAAAGGAATAAAACAGTATATATTTCTTTCACAAATTCAACGAACGATAAGCACGCAACGCATATACGAATTTGCTTATTGCTTCAAAATCGAAAACCCAGGCCAATAAGGCAAGAAATGAACCCTTGGTTGTTGCTCAATTTGAAAAAATTCATTTCCGTTCTCGGTAATTAGAGGCAAATGTGGATCGACCTCGCAGATTACCCGAAAAGATTATCGAAAAGAAAGACCGAATAGGGAAATAGCACATACGTTTAAGAAATCATCTTGAAAATGCAGACAATTGAACTAAAGGTTGTATAATTAATACTGTACATTGTATTTCAATTTCTTGTGTAGGACGGTATATTATACTAAACAAGTATGTTGTCATGGTTGGACCGGTACAGATTGTGAGAAGGGTAACAATACTTATATTAAAATTGTTTCGTGTGATTTGTAATAGGAAAGTGGGTTGAGAAAGACCCGAACTATTCAGATCAATGTTGGTTTATGACTTATAGGTGTTAAAGTGTCCTGATGAACAATTCACATTTTACGAATCTGTAGTGACGAAATTTCATACACAAGTTTCATTTTGTTCTGACGACAAAATATAATGAATTTTCAGCGTCCTGTAAAAGTAAAACTAAAATGACAATGCCATTCAAGATTTGACGTGAGTATTATTTATTATTGTCTACATTTCAGCAATTTGTAGAGGAAGGTCTGATTCAAGAGCCTGTAATGAAAATTTTCCCAACTCCCACATTGTTCTGCCTGATAAAACCACAGTAAAGAATAGTGTGGGAAAATGTATTCGACCTAATGTATGTGAATGTAAACAGGAAGGGTTTTATTCAGCTGGTTCATTTTGTAATAGTAAGTAATAATTATTTGTTCTATATCTGCTTAATGAACCCGAATTTGTTAAACTCAAATGTAAAATCTACAAAAGTATAATAAATCTTCAACCATAAATGTGATAAGTATTGCCTATGAATGGTGATAACCACAAAACAACCACATTTGAAAAACACACAAATTAACGATCTGAACCGCAAAATGAAACCCAAAATCCAAAATGACAGTTTGTCAATACACAGTTAGCAGCTAAAGAACGTTTCGTTATGAAATGTAATTAATGCAGAAATCTTAATCAACTTCAACTCATTTATTTATTATCCAAGTATTTCAAAATTGAAACATAAAAAATATAAAGGATATGATATTTCAACTAAACCTTCAAATCACATTTAAAGGTTTAGAAATAGCTTTAATGTGATTTGAAAACTTTGTTGAAATATTATAGCCATTTTAATAATTCGATTAGTTCGAGTCAAAATGGCTGTGAACTACGTTCGTGTGTGTTTTTTCTATGTAAGAACCATACGCAGTTTCGTTTGATTACAAAACTTCGCTCAACGAAAAGTAGTTTCGTATAGGATTGCTCCCTTCTTTAATTCCTGGTCGCCTGACAAAATATTAAAAGTCTATCTAAAGCTGCAAATAGACGAGGTACGGTGTCCGGTGCGGGATACAATTAATACAAAGAAAACAAGATCACGCCGAACTCGTGCGAAACTACGTTACTGTAAATAAATGAAATTGTTTTGTTCAGCCATCAATTATTATGATATGGAATATTGTACAATTAAAACTGCTAATTTATTTCACTCTGTTCTGCTGTCAATAACTATGATCTTGAAAATTGTACAACTGAAACTATTAATATATTTCAGTCTGTTCACCCATTAATAATTGTGATCTAGAATATTGTACAACTAAAACTAACCAGAGATGTCGGAGATGTGAAGGATTGGTAGCAGATATTTCGTGGCAGCGAGCTTATATTATATCGACGGATAAACGATTGTGTAAAAGTAAGTTGTCCGGTAATTTGTTTGTATAAACTTTCAAAGCGTTGAAAATATGACATCGAATAATTCAAGTTTTTTGTTTATTCTGGCGCATTTCATACAGTCTAATTATCGAAATTTCAGTCGTTCCTCCGGAAAGCATGCAGAATGTTTTCACATAGTAGTGATACCAAGCAAGCAAGTAATTTTTACAGTCTAAATTGACATTTAACCTATCTGCTTTTGAAAACGGCATGTTAAGTCTCATTTTGGTTTTGCAATGTCAGTGTCAAGATTCCTTCATTTTATTTTAATCTTGAGATTTAAGATAAAAATTAAGATTTATGATGCAATTCTTGTACAATTGACAACCCCATTCACGGAAATTTAATACAATGTTAGGGATTGATCTTATCTTACTTATAGAGGCCTGTTCATGGAGACCAGACAGTAGATGTTATCCTGGTACATGTCCAAATGAGCTGTTTTCAAATTGTGATTGTTCTGTTGGGTTTACTGGAACCCATTGTAATAGAAGTGAGTGTATTAAACAAGATATGTAAAAAACTATGGCCTAAGCTAAGCTAATCACAAATAGTATTCACAGCTCACCGACGAAATTTGAGCCTTCAAAGCCATGTGTGTCCAGAGTTATCCGCGTTTACAATTCAAAATAACGACTCGCCATTTCTTAAGACTTCTATAGAAATAGACAGAGAAATTCCTTGTTTGAGGTATTATTGAAGGAATTATGCGATTTCTGTACATTTCTAGTACCTCTGAAGATTATTTACATATTATATTCAAGACCCAAGCAAATGGCGAATCTGCCCTTTTAAATGTAAATAATGTAATATTGGGGATATTTATTTTCGTTTTAGTTACTGCTATCCCTGATATTCTTTACAATCAAGTAACGCTAACTGCTGATAATGGTGAAACTGTTGATGCTCCTGGTGATTTTGGAGCTGGTTCTCCACAACCAATAACATGGACTAATATGATGAAATCAGCAAATCTATATTACTCTTTTAAATCAAACTACTATAAACCAAACTTTACCCGCTCAGAATTTGTCGTGGAATATAAAGTTGGTATCATTGATGGAAGGATTCTTTTCACGAAGTGTAGGTTTTAGTTTCAGATTTTATGTATATACTTATTTCTATTCGCCATGGGATTATGCAGTGGGCTTGAAAGGAAAGAGATCCATCATAGTCTTATGCGAACATTAATCAGTTAATTTTATATTGTAGATGGCCGAAATGGAGTCAAAAAACAGACCAACAGTTGTCCTAACATCAGTAAAGATAATCCTAATCAAGGTATATTGGATTGTACTAAAACCATAAAACCTACATTCTCGATTTCCTTCCAACATCTAGAACAGTAAGTGATCACTTACCTTGTATGAATAAAACAAGAAATTCAGTTTATCAACATCTCGTCCAAAGAAATAATTTTAAAGATTTTCAGACATTTTCTTGCCTGTGTTTCTTATGTTCTGCAGCTATGATGTAGCCAAGGACAAAAATACTCACTTATTTACTCAAATACTCAAAAATTTGACAACAACAAAAAACTGTCTGACATTAAGTAATTTATGTAAACTAATGTTCATAATCGCTCGCGTAAATCATATCCTCAGCACGCCAACAGTGCTAGTATCCCACACCGTAACCATTAAATACTGACTTATAATATTAGCAAAAAATTTAAACGTGGCTTTCTAAACATTTTTTCAGACTGTCTTTCAAAATAACAACAACTATTGGAGGATTTGTGAAGATAAAAAATTTAGAAAGGAATGTCTACAACACCTACTACTACACACCAAACTCACTCTCACGTGATTTTGAGATTAAATTTGACAATGTACCACCATACCATTGTCAACCTGTCAACAATTGCCAAAAAAACATGTTAACTGATATTGACATAACTAAGAAGGTGAACAGAGAAACCAAAAATAATTACATATTTGAACCCACGAGAAATGGTGGTGGTGCGGTTAGGGGAGAGTTGACAGAAGTAGTAACTGTGTTGAATCACGTGCGACACCATGATAATAACGCTGTGCTCAATTGTTGATATGTTTAAAATTATTTACACACAATATTGTTATTCAAGTTATTACACCGTAATAGCGGAGGTGTAGACGTTTATTTATCTCTGAGGAATGATGCGGATAGCCATTTAGTTTTTGTTGTTGTATCTACATCAATGAAGAAAAAATCTCAAATCCTAGTCAGCAGGTTGACTGTAGTTCAAATGTAGCTTACACACTGATCAGAATCCAAAAATAGAAATTCAGTAAAATAGATTGATATTTATTTTTTATAGGTAGATAATACGGTTTATTGGGACGGTTGGATTGACGATGATGCTGGTATAGCTAAATATGAATTAGAAATATTCAGCATGAAGTCGGTAGGAAATGAAATAATGACAGACGAAAGGGTATTCGACACAAAAACTACATTGGTAGGTATTGATGATGAATAATTTTATCCTCCATAACCTTATCCTTAATATGACAACCACGACCTCTGGAATAGTATAATGTCAAGAACACAAGTTATATGGATTTTCTACTTCTAGTTTTATTACATACTACGTTTCGAAACACATACATGTAACGTTATCAAGTAAAATGATTGACAACCAATCTCGATAATGATGTTTAATATAATCTTTGTAAGACATGGTTGTTAATCATTTTACTTGATAACGTTACCTGTTTGTGTTTCGAAACATAGTAGTATATCCATATAACTTGTGTTCTTAATTTTTACCTTCCTGCTTAAATATGTCTTACAAAGATTATAGTAAAATGTATATTAGATTGTGAATGAATGAACAATAGTCTGAGCAGAGTTTTTTTTATGTTGTTCCATTAATGAATTGGAAAAGCAACCTCAAAATATCACTGTTAGTTGATGAAAATATAAACATGAGTATATATTATGTGTTCAAAATTTGTTTCTACAGAGGACAATTTTCAGACAAAATTTAGTACTTTTTTGGTTGAATTTTCTAGGAGAGGAATGTGTTTCTTTTCAATGTGAACTTACTAAAAATTATACTTTTATACGCCCACATGAATATGTGGTCGTATATTGTCGTCGCCCCCGTCCGTCAACATTTCTTGTGAGCACTATAGAGACTACAGTTTTCATCTGATGTTAATAAAACTTGGTGTGATGCTTTAGATTGATAAGATCTCGGTCAAGTTCAAATTTGATATAGTTTCGATGAACGGTTTTTGAGATATTGCCCTTGACTTTGTTAAAACGCGTCGAAATTTGTTAAAAATAGTTCGTGAGCAGGATTGAAGCTACAGTTTTCAACCGATTCTGATGAAACTTGGTGTGATCATTGGAATTGATAAGATCTCGGACAAGTTCTAACTTGACGCATTTTAGATGAAATGATTTTGACATGATTTCTGACAGCTGTCAGTGGGCGTATGTTACCTTGCCTCGCAAGCTATCTTTATTAACGCTAGGATATTCTAAGACTCACAATTCAAATTCTCTTGAAAAGTATAGAAACAAATCAAAAAGCTTTTTACTTTTCTCAGACAATACATTCTTTGCTTGGATATTTACATTCTTCTTCGACCTCAATGTGATATTATTATATAGAATCCTACTCATTCTCTTAACTCTATATATATTTTTTGTATTTTTTGTAGTTCCGTGAACTTGGTTCAACCAGTCACTATGGTAGTTCAGCCTCCGAATTTGGAAATATTATATCTATATATATATTTAATTAGTAGTAAAGTTATTCGATTTTTATATCTATAAATGTATTTTATTTTTATTAACAGAAGAGTCAACAATTTAATTTAACAATACCAGGTGTATATTCTGTTATACTTGCTGCAGTAGATAAAGCTGGTAATATTAGACTTGCAAGACGATGTTTGATATATGATGATAACAATCAGGTATCCACTGTTCCTAATACTAGTTTTAAACCCACGTCAGCATCACCTTCTACTAACTACCTCTGGCAACAAAATCATGGTCCTGTTACTATTGACTGGGAAAATAGATATATTAATACTAAACACCATAATGGTAAATATCTAGCTGGAATCCAGGATTATCATGGTCTAGATCCAAAATATGATGATCATTATGGAAAAAGAACAACCCAACCCATCGATAATGTTCAAGGTAACAATAACATATATTTTACTTTCTTAACTCAAACAACTTTTTATATTCATGAACAAGAAGCTTACTATTTAGACGGAAATTTATAGTACCCTATAGAAAGTACTATTGATATAGCTAATCAGTACAAAAGGTTATTTCGAAAGATACACACATTGTGTAAACCATAATGAAGTATCAATTTTAGAAGTTCTGGTGCATATCTCGGAACCGGAACATAAGAGATATCTTCCTGTTTACATTTATTCCGCCCTAACCAACCGCACTATCTTACCACTTCACTTATATTCATTCGCACACAATCAAATTGTTATCCATAAAGCATTTCCACATAAACTATATTTATCATAAGCATTTCCACATATTTATCTATCTTAAGATATAGTACGTTATGAAACATATTATGGGATAGATGACAAAGGAGGATCTACTATTCAACCAACAGATACTTATTTTACTACTACTGGTAACCTGAAACAATCTATAACAATTTCTCCTACATTACGAGATGGCGACACTGTAAAATTTTATATAAGAGCTTATGATATAGTAGATTTCTACCTGGAAGAATCCACCACAGTTTATTTTGATATGTCGCCACCTGTTATAAAAGATCTATGGTTAACTAAAGGAGATGATTTAAATATAGCTGTCCATGGGTTTCAAGATTTAGATAAACTTGTGTAAGTGACAAAATATCTAAATCAAAAAATATATTACAATAGCAGAAAAATCAAATGTATGTGTTCCTCGAAAACCCTTTTGATATGTAAGTACCTGAACCTGTCCTTGATACCTAAAAGCAGTGAATTCGACCGTTAATAAAATGAATCTTACGATAAGACACATCCAACTGAAAGGTAGAGTAGTTATGCTAAGGTTCATTTGTTCTGAGCAAAGAAATATTTTACATAAAGAAAGTTTATTTCTAATCTACCACCACAAAGAGATGCACTCGCATTAGTTATTATTGTTATAATCTTTTGCCTGTCAACAGAATTGAATGGATAGCTTATGATCTTCACAGTGGATTAGAAACAGTGGAGTGGAAACTTTATGATAATTTTACTGGTGATGTTATATTACATGGTTCACAACATATACCAGTACAAGCACAGGTTGGTAATTCAAAATAGGTCACCTAAGATTTACTATTAACTTTATAAATAGATTACCAGTATATAAGTAGGTCACTTAGTCATTTGACCTAAGGTAGATTTTTTATCATTATGTATCAAGCTTTCACCACCCAGTATCTGTTTTTAAATTGCCCTAATAAGTACAGAGAGAGAGAGGGGTCTCCTTTACAATTCTGGTCAATAGTCTTATCTTTTTAATGCTGCAGGCACACGAACGGTTTTGGTCTGCGATTTTTGTTGCAGATTAATGTTCTGTACAGAGTTTCACCGACCGGCTGTAAGGACAAAAATCTCAATTAGTTGTTTTCCCTAAGTCGATATTAACGCGATGATCATACAATTGGAGTGAAAATGAATTTGATTGGACTTGTCTCATCTAGGGTCAAACGAAGAAAACTATCGCCGACTAGTAAATAAATAATAGCGATGGCCATCGTAATACGCCCACAATTGTAATGGCAGCCAAGTCGTCCGGGAGGTTTCGAGAGTAATATTTTCATACTGCAAGAACTTTATTCAGAGCCATTTTTTCTTTTCTTCTTTTTTTTCTACGCCAACATGAAATGGGGGTGTATATTGGCGTCACCCAATGTCGGTCCGCCCGTCGGACCGTCCACAATTGCTCTCAACCGCTCTTGAAGACACAGTCCTTGACTGATTTTGACTGAACTTCGTATGATTGTTAGTAATCAACCAAGAACGAACCCTACTGAAAATCAGAAAAACATTAAGTATGAATAATTGTCCTTGTTCTTGAAATGCTCGCAAACACTCTAGATGGTGCAAATTTTGACGGATTTGGATGAAACTTGGTGTGAATGTTTGCTATCACCGAAGGATAAAACCCTATTGAAAATAAAAAAAAATCGAAAAATAATTAGTATGAGTTATTGCCCTTGTTATTGAAAACGAGTTCACACCGAGTTTCACACTACATTTGGCCAAAATTCATCACGAAACCAGCTCTCTATCGTGTCCCACAACAAATGTGAATAGACAGACACACGGGGGGTGACGACTATATACGCCCACACATTAAAGAGGCACCTTCACTATCCGTTCGACCAATCATACCTTTGTTTCAGAAACGGACATTTTAGCTTACATAATCAGTAATAGTGTTCACAGCTCATCGTCGAAATTTAAGCCTTCAAATCCATGTTTATCCATAATTGTTGAGACTATGCCATATAGAAAACACATGTAAAGAAATAGACAGTGAAATTTCTAGCTTGAGGTATATTTTAAGGGATTATTCGATTTCCGTGCGTTTTAGTACTATTAAAGCACAATCAATCCCTGAAAATGCCGACTGTTAATGCGACATTAAATCAGAGACAAATTTCAAACCAGTTTTATGGTCAAAATCTTGTCGGAAACGCGATAACCCTGCCATGTACGCGCACGCACATTTTAATCATGCTCGCGTT